CCTCGGGACCGGGTTGTCAAGTGTAGTCGTTGTAGGTACCACCGGGTCCATCCCGTAATTCAAGAAGAACGGGGAGTGATTAGTCGTGCTGGACGGAGCGTTGTTGAACGCGAATTCCAGCATGGCGAGCGAATGTTCCCAGCGAGCGGGGTCGGGGCAGTTTGTCCTGATCAGCTGCTCCATCGTCTGATTGGTCCGCTCGGTCTGGCCGTCGGTTTGCGGGTGGTATGCCGACGAGAACTGTAGCTTCGTTCCGTACTGCGCCCACGTCTCCTTCCAAAATTTCGATGTGAACTTTGGGTCCCGGTCGCTGATGATCGCCGATGGGATGCCGTGTAGTCGCACAACGGTGGAGATGAAGAGGCGTGCAGTTTCTTCGGCGGTGATTGTCGTGCGACAAGGTGCGAAATGCGCCATTTTTGTGAGGCGATCGACGACGACGAGTACAGCGTCGTTGCCGGACGGCCCAGCTGGCAGCCCCGTGACAAAGTCCATCGTCACCTGTTGCCATGGTCGTTCGGGTGGCTCGAGAGGTTGCAGCAACCCAGCTGGCCGCTGACGTGTCGATTTCATGGCTTGGCACACCCTGCATGAGGACACATATCGCTGCACGTCGTTAGCAGAATCAGGCCAATAATACTGACGGTGCAACAACTTCTGGGTTTTATCAACCCCGAAATGTCCGGAGAGGTTGGAATCATGGACCTCCTGAATAAGGAGTTCGCGCAGCAGCCGGTAAGCGGGAACCCAAATCCGGTCAGTTCCGGCCTTTAGGTAATAATTCCCTTTCTGCGTCGTCGCCTGCTGGTGATTTCCAGTCGTGAAGAACGGGTCCGTAGTGTAGCCGTGGGTGAATAGCCCCGAAAGAAGCGGGTTCGAATGGGTGATCAGCACAGCAGCGGATTGGACTGTCGGTCGGGTCAGGGCGTCGGCAATGTTGTTCGCGCCCTTCTTGTAGGTGATCCTGTAGTGGAAGTGTGACTCCATGTAATCGAGCCACCGGATTTGTCGCGGGTTGAGGTTGGGCTGTGCTCGTAGGTACTGTAGGGACTTGTGGTCCGTGCGAACAGTGACGTCAGCGCCCGTCAAGTAGCAGCGCCACAGTTTGAACGCGTGAATGATGGCGAGCATCTCCTTGTCGTGAATCGGGTAGTTGCGCTCGGCTGCCTGCAACTTGCGTGACTCGTAGGCGATCGGTTGTAAGCCGTTGCCAAAATCCTGGAGCAGCACTGCGCCGATGGCAAAATCTGAGGCGTCGGTGACAACTTCGAACGGCTTTGATGGATCGGCGATGCGAAGAACCGGAGGGGACACCAGTAACTGCTTCAACTCCTGAAAAGCCGCCTCAGCCTCCTCCCCCCACACGAAATTCCTATCCTTGTGCAGCAGGTCGGTCAGCGGGCCGGTTATCCCCGCCATATTCGGGATAAACCGCCGGACATAATTCACGAACCCCAGAAAACTTTGAAGTTCCGTGACATTAGTCGGGGCCTTCCACTCCTGGATGGTCTTGATTTTCTTCGGGTCGATTTTGATGCCGTCGCGTGAGATGACGTGCCCCAAAAACTCCAACTCTTGCTTAAAAAACTCGCACTTAGAGCCCTTGGTGATGAGGCGGTTCTCCTGCAACCGCTTAAATACTGCGTCGAGGTCGCGGAGGTGCTGCTCGCGTGTCCTGCTAAAAATCAGAATATCGTCCAAGTAGACGATAACACACTTGTCCAGCAGGTCGCGAAATACCCTGTTCATGGTGCGTTGGAATGTTGATGGCGCGTTCGTGAGGCCGAAAGGCATCACCGTGAACTCGTAGCTGCCGTAGCAGGTTCGAAAGGCGGTCTTGTGACAGTCGTCAGCGAAGACCCTGATCTGGTGGTAACCGCCGCGTAGGTCAATTTTCGAGAAGTAGCGAGCGCCGCGAAGTTGGTCGAGGAGGTCGTCGGTGCGTGGGATGGGATAGCGAGACTTGATGGTAACCCAGTTTAGCGCGCGATAGTCGATGCACATGCGAATGCCGCCGTCCTTCTTCGGTGTGAACAGGATCGGTGCGGCGAAGGGCGAAGTACTGGGTCGGATGAAGCCCTTCTCCAACAGTGACTCAAGTTGACTTCGAAGCTCCGCGAGTTCGGGCTGAGTCAACCGCCACTGTGTACGAACAGTCGGATGCGCGCCAGGTTCCAGCTGGATTTTGTGGTCTTCGGGTCTCTCGGGTGGCAGGCCAGGTGGCAAATCGTCGGGGAAGATGTCGGGGTACTGTCGAATCAGCTCCGCTAAATCAGGTGGTACAGCTGCGCACAGCTTCTCGATGTCGTTTCCGTCAGTGTCGGCTGCCAACTCGCGCAAGCATACGGCGAACAGTTGCGCACCCCTGTTGACGTGGCGTGTAATCGTGATGGCTTTGACGCATGTAGACTCGATGCAGTCCGGAGTCCACGCGGGCAGAGTAATCAGCTTCCCGTCCTTGCTGATGCTGCACGATCCCGTCGTCCAATCGATTACCGGGTTGTGCCGTCGCAGCCAATCGCGTCCCAGGAGCACGTCGCATCCGTCCAACGTCGTCGCGAGAAACTTCATGCTGAAGCCGAAATCGTCGCCGCACTCAATCCGCACCGTCCGTGTTTCTTCCAAAATCGCCAGAGGCGTCCCATCCACGAGGCGGGCGTCAATTTCGGGCAGACACCTGTCCAGCTGCAACTTGCATTTTTTTGCTGTCGCCAGATTGAAGAGGCTATGGCTAGCCCCGCCATCGACGAACATTTTAATTTTTTTCTTAACAACCGTGCCAACAACCAGCACAGGGTGATCCACATGTTCACCCCCGTTATTCGTCCGAGTGCGATCGATTGCATGAATCGGAACCACGACTCGGTGGGGATGGTGGGGTTCGGGCGACAGAGCACAGTCAGTAAGGGGCCCGTCTGTTACTGACTCTTCCCATTTCCCGGCTCCTTCCCGTCGTTCCTCTTTCCCTGCGTCCTGTCGGGGCAGTCTTTATACATGTGGCCCGGCTTCCCGCACTTAAAACACAACCCTGTAAAAGGGCGGTCTGGCGCATGGACTCCGTTAATCGTGGCCCGCTGGGTCTGTCCACGAAATCGGTTTCCCTCCCGAGAACTCGATCTCGCCCACTGCATCAGCGCGTCTGTGCTCTCGGCCAATCGGACGGCTTCGTTGAATGTTGTCGGGCGGTTTCGGCGCACCTCGAACTGTATCTCGTACTTGAGGCCGCTGATGTATTTATCCAACCGCTCCGCCTCCGCCATGTCATCCACTTGGTCCGCAAGCGCCATAAACGACGCCGTGTAGTCTTGAACAGAAGCCAACTGCGACCAGGTACGCAGCTTCATGCGAGCGTGTTCCGAGGCGGATACATGCTCGAAACGCTCTCGTAAGGCTGCGCCCCACTGTTTCCACGTGCGAATTGTGGCCACACCGAATATTGATGATGCCCTCCCAATAGCAGAGTCCGAAGTCCCGTCTGCCGCATGTGTCACACCTGTCGGGGTCCCCGTGTCCAAGGTTCGTCGCCACCACTCAAGCGCCGGGCCTCGCAGAAGCGATACCGCGTAATTAATACGCGTGGCGTCGTCGTTGACATTCGCTGCAGTGAAGAACACCTCCACGCCGAACAACCACCCCTTCACGGTAGTGTTCTTGTCGGTAGGGTTGAACGGGGGCGGGCTCGTAGGCTTTATCTTGATTGTTGTCACTGCAACTGTTGTCGCTGCCGCCGCTCGCTGCCTATCTTCTTCTTCGAAGCCGCGTGTGAGCTCGTCCAACGGATTGCCGCTCACCGCTTGACCAGTGCTCTCGCCTTCTTCAGCGGGCGACTCCTGGCGCGCTTCACCTCGCGCCTGGCGTAGCTCGTTGTTTTCTCCACCTCTGTCGTTAACGCCTTCATGCCTGCCGACATCTCCGCCACTTGCTGCATCAACGCGTCAAATGCCGCCTGATCCATGAGTCGCAAGCTACGTCTAGTAGGCAAGTGGGTATCCGTGACTATCCGGCAACAGTGCAAGCGCAAAAGCTATCGGGGTCGGGCAAGTTTAATTTAATAAACTTTGCAACCAACCGCTTTGCAGCCCACCGTACCAGTCACACCCGTGCCTCTAAACTACCCTGGAAAAGCGGGGTGAACTAGGAAAGTAGCTCTGATACCAGGTGTTATGAGTTGTCAAACAGAGTTGCGCGGAATAACGAATAACGAGGCTGTGACTCAATGAATTGACGATACAATGAAAGACATGCGATTATATAGCGAGGCAACCTAACTAGGCGGGAACCTCGGGAACACGAGGTTGAGTGCAGGTTGGGCAAAGGAAAGCCGAAGGCGACGCGAGGTTGCTTCGGCAGCAAGCAAAGCGGCCGAACGTGCACTTCCGAAAGTTGGGGTTGTACGCGGTTGAGTAAACCCCAGTAAGGAAAAATGGTTTATCCTTACAGAAACCTATTTCTTCATTTTCACTTCTGACGAGTCATACAGCTGACGTCCTGATTGCTCAGCCTACAAGTTCCACCCATCCTTCGATTGTGAGCAACTGTCAGGGCTTGCCAGCTTGCTCTTGGTCAGAACCCCGCATCCTCCTCTCCGTCTCCCTGGATAGTTACGCGCAATGACCTTTACCCTCACGCATGGAGGACTCTATCTACAGCTTGGACACGTGGCCCCTCGAAATGCTTCCAGGGGCAGAGTTGTTTATCCCTTGAATACGACCACCCTATTGGCTATTCAGATCAAAGTCGCGGACAATGGCTCGAATTCTAGAGACTGTCCCGAGTTCACCTCACAACATAATAGATAGCACCTCGCCACTCCAGAGCGGTAGATGACTCATTGTGAATCCGTATTTTCGGATGCCTAGTCGCGAAGTTGCATCTCGGGGTGTTTCCAGCAGCAAAAAATGGATGATCGCTTTGAAGTATTTACGTTCTTTGAATTACTGGATTCCTCGTTGTCGAACCGCTTGCCGGCAGGCGAGATGCAGGAGATAAAAGAGAGAATCATGTCCGGATTGCTTGAGAGGAGGAAGCAGCGTCTGCAATCCTCGTCCGCGGGGTCGCGCCTGTCAGACGACATTATCGATGCTAATGTCGTTGTTTGCAGTCCTGCCTCTCCTGCCATCCCTCGCGGCCCTGTTCCCGGTGCTGCAAGTGAAGTACCGAAAAGGCACAGAATGACCAAGGAGGTGCAGGTGAGCTTACAAATAAGCAGACTGTTGTTGTTGTTGTTTTTTTTTTTTTCCTCTACCTGTCCTACATTTACTCCAATTGCCTCCCATCTGTTTCACCTGCATCGCCTTCCGTTTTCCCACTCTTCTCATCCCTAGATCTCTCCACCCTGCTGTCCTTCTCTCCTTGTCCCGCCTCTCAGCCCCTCGACTCCCAACCGGATCAAGACAGATTGCTGCAGCTGTTCCAGACGGATCTAGGTTTTGACGGCGAACTTCCTGTTTCAGCATGTGTTATCTACCGTGCGCTCGTGCACTGGCGCTCCTTTGAAACCGCTTATACGAATGTATTTGACAAGATTCTTGGGATCATGAGCGCTGACATAGAGGCTGCTCCTGATGCGGGTGCAAGCGCGGATTCTGCCGCACAGCCCAAGGCTGCAAGATCTGGTGCCGGAGAACATGAAGATGCAGTGGGGAGTATTGACAAGCTGGCGTATTGGCTGGCAAACGCAGCGTGTCTGCTGAATCTTCTCCTGAGATCTTTCAAGACCAATGAAGTCCCACGGGAAATGGCCACGTTTTGGCAGGTACGTGAGCACAGCAGCAGCGGTTTGTGGACGCATCTTTCTTTCTCTCTTGCATCAGGTGCCAATAGCGAAGGAGAGGAAATTCAGGGGATTGGTTGTCCGGAGTAGGCTAAGTTGGGTACGGATACGGACATCATCATCGTTCAGTGTATTTCCATCAGTCCGTTGACTCCAATCGCACACTGCCCTGACAGACCCCTCATTTGTTTTCCTTTTATCAAGTATTCGTCAGCACACTTCAAATCTTATCAAGCGTTTGTCTACTTTCCTGCAGGCCATCTTCAGCCCAACTGTCCCATCTGAGGACGAGATAGCTGCAGCGAAGGCTGATGGGCTGCAGCTTGTGAAGCCCATGCTCCCAGCTCTGCTATTCGGGCAGCAGCTAGCAGCGTATGTGGAGAAGGTGTACACGCGCATTGCAAATAACCTTTGGAACGATGTTTTACACATACTGGTTGCCGGCTCCGAGGTACTGCACATGGTTGTAAGAATGTGTGGATGCGCATTTCTGTGTGTGCGTGCGCGCGCGCGCGTGCGTGCGTGCGTGCGTGCGTGCGTGCGTGCGTGTGTGTGTGTGTGTGTGTGTATGTGTGTGTGTATCTGTGTGGATATGTGTTTAGCGTGTGTGTGTATGTGTGTGTGTGTGTGTGTGTGTGTATGCATGGGCGGATGCATGTATGCGTGTGTATATGAGGAGGGGGGATGAGAGGCATGCTTCATATGATCTTTCCATCTTCATCCGTGTTCACCTCTTCAGATCAATCCTCGTTTGCTGAGGAATTCATATCAACAGAACCTGCCAGCAGCAGCACGAAGCGAGGCAACCTTAATGCCAGCAGCAGAAGTACGGTGGAACCCTATGACTATCAAGCTCTCAGATATGCTCAACACACTGAAGGTCAACCACGTGCCTGCCTTCCTCGTCAGGAGCCTCTTCCGGCAAACCTTTGCACTCATCAACTTGACGCTCTTCAACCGGTCTGTGTTTTAGCTTGTTGCGACTTCAACACTGCTTGTCAGATTGACTGCTTCTAGTCTGGCTGTTATTGTATTGAATCTGCTTGCGGTGCTTGCAATCCTTCGCTGCTTCTCAGTTTCCTATTTCTCTCTCTCAAAGCCCCTTACTTGTTACCACTGTTAGCTGCTCAAGTACGTTTATTCAGCTTCTTGCATTCCCATGCAACCAACAGCTGACATTCTCTTCTCTCTTCTGATAGCTCTCTCCGTTTGCCTCTCTCTAACTATGCTGTGAAACCCACCTCCCCCCATCCACAACCCCTTTGTATCTCTCTCAATTCCTCCCATCCTTAACCCCCCTTGTATCTCTCTCAATTCCTCCCAACGATAACCCCCCTTGTATCTCTCTCAATTCCCCCCATCCTCCCTCCCCCTTTTGATTCTGGCTTGTTGTCGCTCTTGCTCCTTTTACAGTGTATTGCTTAACCGTCAAAGCTGCAGCTTACATTATGCCGACGTGTATCTCAAGGAGGGGCTGAGGGAGCTGCAGCAGTGGACCTCTGCCGTCAGTGAGGAGTATGCGGGTGGCGCATGGGACCAGCTGCAACACATCAGGCAGGCTGTGGAGTTCATCGTACGTGCCCGTTTTTACCTCGCATTATAACCCCCGCCATTTCCGTTCTGTTACCATGTCCCTATCTTACCAACCCTTTCGTGCCCCAACGTGTTTCAACTGACAGGTCCTTCCCGAGAAAACTGAGATGCCTTTGGAAGAATTATGTTTGCACTTTCCTGCTTTGAACATGAGACAGCTCTACCGCATAAGTTCCATGATTCCCACCAGCGATCCCAATGCCATCTTTGCGACACGTGCTATGCTGGATGCCATGCGTGAGAAGTGCAAGGAAGAGAATCCTCGCAATGACATATGTTTCCTCCTTGAAGCTGACTGGGGGTGAGTGATGGTCCAGTTGACCCTGTTTTGTTGCGCTTGTGCTATTGCTGCTGACCTTGCTGCTCTCATACTGCTGTCGTTCCAAAAATGCCTCAGTGCCCAACAATATCCTCTTTACTTGGTCTCTGTTTACCCTCCCCTCACCTTTCACATGTCAGCATTCCATTTTCAGTAAGTGACATGTACAAGGAGCAGCCCAAAATCTCCCTCAACGATCTACTAGTGCCTCCCCACTTTCCTTAGAATTTTGTTTACTTGACAGGTGCAGCTACGTACATGTCTGTCTGGTCGTTTTCTGTCCACTCCACAAGCATACAGAGTAGTTTAGCTGGAGTTGTGATTATGGGCACAATGGATCATGTGACAATTGATGTGACATTAGCAAAGTACACCAGCTTTGTAGTGATAGTTGCAATAGACAGATGCACTACGCAGCATGGATGGTAAATGCATGAACAAAAGGTACAGATTGACACGAATCTGAGTTGAAGTCTCAGGAGCTGAAATCTGTGACTTTTGGTAAGGAGCCCACGAGTATTAGGGGAGTTGCTAAACACTCGAAGTTATCAGATTCGAGATTTTCAGGCAAATATTGCGACAGCCTACAAAGGGTAGCTTGAGGTACGTCAGAGCTCTGTCATGATTGGCGGAAAGACCGCTGAGGCTGGGTTCTAAAAGGGCGTGTTCTGACGAGCCTCAAACACTCGATGCTTGACGTGCAGCGGTTTCTGACAGGGGATGAATGTAGAAAGCGCTTTCCGTACAAATTCAAGCATGTACTGTAGTGTCAATCTCAGCGTATTAGCGAACGGAGGGTGCTATTAGCGCAACTTGCCTTGTGGCCTGCTCCACTTCATCACTGCTGCCATTTGGAAGTTGCATCACCAGCAAACCTGGATTTCACCGAACAACACAGAAAGCCAGGGAATCACAAGACTTGTGGTGGAGCCTCAGCTAAATAGTTCCACGACGACGGCCTGCCGGCCTTCTTAGAGTTTAACCTGGTCCGCTGTTGCGAGCCTCGCGCCGCTATTGCAAGGTGAGTGCGCGACGCCGACATGATCTCTATCTGGAGTGTAAAAATCGATTAGTGTCAGTCTACTATACGCGGGGTTCATCAGTTACCCTTCCTCGGGTTGCGGAGAGATGACGTGTTACGTAGATCATTCGCCCGGACGCGTAGTACGCCATTGAATGAGGAGAGCTTGTTCTATGAAGAGCAGGGATATAACTGCTGTCTTTTTTCAAACCTCGCCTTTCAGCAGGCCTTATGGAGAGAATGATCGAATTCGTGTGATTCACTGTCCCGACAATCGAATTGCTACCTTCACTTGATTACATTTTCAACATCTTTCTGAGATTCGTCAACAGTTCACCAGCCTCACCTCTTAGGGTATCGTAAGATCCGATCGACCCGCCATGGTTTCTTATTCCCGTAAGCAGCGATGCAAAGCGAGTGCACGAGACATTTGCGCGCACAGTGCTCGTGACGTTCGCACAGGCAGTGCACGCAAGTCACCTCCTTTCTAACCGCACTCCACTTCGCCAGACCAGCAGGGGAGTCTAGCTGCAAACTGGGAGCGATTGGGTTTGTGACTGAGTAGTAACTATTAAGACAACACCTAATGATCTGGTTTTCGAACTCCGATGTAGCTTTCGAGCTCGATGGTCGATGTGCTGAAACCTGGTGCCGTGCCGAATAGCTGTCGAGTAGTAACGAGATTTGCTTGCGCTCGTACCGAAGACCGCTTCCCTTACCACCCCTTTTCCGTGCAATTCTCGTTTTGCCTCCACCCAGCCCCTGCGATGGCTAGCCGTTGGCGCAGTTCCTTCTAGCCGCTGCTGCTTCGTGGTTTTCTCCACTTGTTGTCCAACTTTTTCTCCAATCGCTTCTTTCTCTCTCTCCCCTGCTCGTCCTTCTCCCCGCACCCCTCCCCTGTTCTCCGCGCAGCAGCAACCATGACTACACCTGGGCGTAATTCCCTCTGCCCGCTGCTGCTGCTGCTGGCGGTGCTGCTGGCGCGGCATGCAAGCGTGCAGGCAGGGGAGAATGCGAACGCCACCCAGCCAGCAGCCGACGACCCCGTGGTCAAAGCAGAGAAGGAGGCGGGCGATATCGTGCCTCAAGGTGGGTGGGTGTGCTGCAAGGTAAGTGGGTGTGCTGTTGGCGTGGCATGCGTGCGTGCAGGTAGCGGACAATGCCAACGCCATGCAGCCAGCGGGGGACGACCCCGTGGTCAAAGCGGAGGAGGAGGCGGGCGATATCGTGCCTCAAGGTGGGTTCTCTTCTGTGCAAGTTTCATGCTACCTGTGTTCCTGCCGCATGTTCTCTCCTTCCCCCTTCTCTTCCCCTCCTTTCCGTCTTCCCTCCCACACCCTTCCCCTCCATTTTTTCCCTTCTCAGGAGCATTTAAAAAAGAGCAGAAATAACTGCTTACTGCACAGACATACCCACGGGCAGCCCCTTTTGTGGAGCGCGTGATCGATTGTTTTCAAAACGCTGACATGATTGTCCATGCTCCCTATGTCCCGTGCAGGGGCGTGTAAGGCGGAGATAACGGCTTACTGTTCGGACCTACCCACGGGCAACCGCTCTCTGGAGCGGTGTTTGAGCACGCAAGTCAAGATGGTGATGGCGGGGAAAGTGAAAGGTGAGATGTTTGGTGGGGAGTCGCGGACATGAGTGGAACCGGAGATGTGCGATGTTGGGGGGGTGAATGAGGGCAATCGCTCTCTGGAGCGATGCCTGAGCACGCAAGTCAAGTTGGTGAAAGCGGGGAAAGTGAAAGGTGAGGTGCTTGTCGAGGGTTGGGGAGAGCATGAGAGGAAAGGGAAAGGTGACAGCTTGGTGAATGGGGGTTGTGGGGGAAGGGGGGGAAGGGAACAGCATGAGGGGAATGGTATTGGTGGTTTCACGTGCACCATGCACCGTATCTCTGTTATGATCACATCTGCATGCATGCACCGCATCCACACACATGTCATGTGTAACACCAGTTGCCTAACTATGTGCATCACTCATTGCATCACCAATCGCAACACTATTTGCATCATTGTCTGCGCCACCTTTGCATCCACCACACTTCACGTCTCGTGCAGCGAACCCTGAGTTCTCCGCGGAGTGTTTGCTGGAGATCCGCAACTTCAAGATCGCGCTGTACAAGGACATCACCATGAACAAGGAGATGGGTGCGTGGGCGTGGGTAGCTTAGGGTGTGTGGTGTCTATGTGTGTGCGTGTGGTGCATGTCTGCACACAAGGGAAGCATCAAGATCGCGCTGTACAAGGACATCACCATGAACAAGGAGATGGGTGCGTAGTTAGTGGGGTGCCTGCCTGTGTGCCTGTGTGCATCTGTTTGGTGCATCTGCTGCAAAGCAGGGTTGCAGTGGCATCAAGATCGCGCTGTACAAGGACATCACCATGAACAAGGAGATGGGTGCGTGGATGGTGTATGGTGCAGGTGCATGACTGTGGTGCGTGTTCGTGTGTGTGTGGTGTGCGTCTGCACAGGACAGCAGCAGCACCAAGATCGCGCTGTACAAGGACATCAGCATGAACAAGGAGATGGGTGCGTGGGTGTGCCTTTGTGTTGCAGGTGCATGTGTGTGCTGCATGTTTGCGTGTGTCTGTGTGTGTGAGTCTGGGAGGGAAGAGGAGTACCAAGATCGCGCTGTAGAGGACAGGAGATCAGCATGAACAAGGAGATGGGTGCATGGGTGTTTTCTTACCTCACCACACTCCTTTTCACTGCTTTCCATTCCCCTTTCCCCTTTACTCCTCCCCTTTTTCCCACCAGTGGAGGCGTGCAAAGAGGACATAGCATCCTTCTGTTTAAACGACTTCCTTTCCCCGAACCTGGCAACGTGCTTTCTCTACCTCTGTGATGATTCCTGCCTCATGATTCACCCCTTTCATTTGGCCCTTTCCTCTTCCGGTCCCCAACCACCAGTGGAGGCGTGCAAGGAGGACATTGCATCCTTCTGTGATGACGACTTCCTCTACCCCGAGCCGGGCAACGTGCTTGCATGCCTGCGGTAAGCTGTGCCTGCAACAAGGGATATGATAATATACGTGCGTGCAGTATGGAGACTAGGCCGAGGGTATGTCATGGGCGATCTGGTTGGTTTTGACGATTTCCTCTACTACCCCGAGCCGGGCAAACGTGTTCGCGTGCCTGCGGTGGTGGTGTTGTGTTGTGGGTGGGAAGGGATATGATATGACACGATGAGGATATAACTGGGGTATGATACGGGTATGTTATTGATATGTCCTGTGGGTGATATTGTGATGATGATGACTATTGCCACCCTACCTCAAGCTCGGCAATATGCTCACGTGCCTGCGATGAGTGGGGTGTGTGTCGGGTCGGGCCAATGCTTAACAATGGTGTTTGACCCATGAACAAAAAACCACTTCAAAAATGTCCACCCCATCACCTTTCATTCTCCCGTGCTGCCACGTCACCGAGAGCAAGGAGTCGGGGCGGGTGTCGGACCAGTGCGGAGTGATGGTGTTCACGGCCTGACGCCCTCCTAATCCTACCATCCACCCCATCATCACCCCCCTTTTCCACCGTGCCACATCAGCGAGAGCAAGGAATCAGGGCGAGTGTCGGACCAGTGTGCGATAATGGTGTTCGAGGCGCAGGAGGATGCAGCGGACGATTTCCGCATGGACCCACAGCTCAACATGCTGTGCTCCAAGGACGCTGACACCTACTGCGGGGACGTGCAGGCCGGGGAGGGGCGCATTCAGGAGTGCCTGGTGAGATGGATGGAGTGGAGAGGGCCTGTGGTAGGAGGATAAATGAATAGTTAGTGCTTGTTAGGTGTCTTGCGGATGCAGCATCCGCAGCAGACGATTTCCACATGGACCCACAGCTCAACATGCTGTGCTCCAAGGACGCTGACACCTACTGTGGGGACGTGCAGGCCGGGGAGGGCCGCACTCAGGAGTGCCTGGTGAGTCAATGGGTTGAGGGATGAAGGGAGAGCTCTTGGTGGGTCTATAAGAGAGGCAGCAGACGACTTCCGCATGAATCCGCGGCTGAACATGCTTTGCTTTAAGGAGCTGTTCCAAAGCGAGGCGCCTTAGGAAGAGCCTTTCCTGCCCAGTCTATCTCCGTTCCCCACCAATCCGTGCTCTGTTCTGTCCCTCCTCTCCTTGCAGCAGCACAATCGCAAGGAGCTTATCTGGGAGTGCCAGGCGGAGCTGTTCCGAACCAAGGCGCCAGAGACCCAGCTCCTCTTTGCCTTACCCTCTTTCACTCCCCCCACCCCCTTCTTTACAGCGCCACAACTGCAAGACGCTGAACTGGGAGTGCCAGGCGGAGCTACTGCAATTCAAGGCGCCTCAGACGAAGCTATTGTTTCTCTCCCCCGCTTTCGTTCCCCCCTGTCTGTCCCCTTTGCGGTTCCCTTCCAAGCCGCCTCAGACAAAGCTCTTCTTTCCCTTCCCCGCTTCGTTCACCTCCTTCCCCTCCTTGCAGCGGCGCAACCGCAAGAAGCTCAACTGGGAGTGCCAGGCGGAGCTGTTCCGGCAGGAGGTGGAGAACGCCGATGACATTCGCCTCAACGTGCGGCTGTTCCGAGGTGAGGTGGAGTGGTGACCATGAGTCCAAGGGTCCCAGCCCAGGGGAAACTGGGTTGTGGGGGGTGGGCGGATGTAAGGAGATATGGGATGTAGAGTGTGTGGTCGCATCTGCTCCGGCAGGAGGTGGAGAACGCAGATGACGTTTGGCTCAACGTGCGGCTGTTCCGAGGTGGGGGGGATGGGTGGCGCTCAACAGGGACATAGGCCAACAGGAGTGGCTCAAGGGATATGAAATATGGGGTGTAGTGTGTTCTGACCTGAGGTGAGGGGGAGGGGCATAAGGTCATAAGGAGGTCACAGGGAAATAAGAGAGTTTTTGTACGGAACAGGAAAGTAGGTTTAAAAATTGGCGGCACAGGTACATAAGGAGGTTACAGGGAAAAAGAAGAGTAGTTGTGGAAATGTGAGATGCATCACATTGGATGGCAGCATGCTATGTGTCTCGCGTAACAGCATCTATTGCATTTGTGGAAAGGCGCTTAATGCCTTGTATTTCGTGTCTCTGTTTCTCTACCATATCTCTCTCCCCCTTACTCACCTGCCTTGCGGTACCAGCCTGTCTGGACGACAAGCGGCGTTTCTGTCCCGACGTGCTGCCCGGGGATGCACGCGTGAAGGACTGCCTGGAGGAGCACCGCTCCGAGCCCGAGTTCTCCAAAACCTGGTGAGCGCGGCACAAGTAAGGGGCTGGGGCAGGAGTGGTGACAGGGGTAGGGTATGGGTGGGGCGAGAGAGGGTGGATGCACGCGTGAAGGACTGCCTGGAGGAGCACCGCTCTGAACCCGAATTCTCCAAAACCTGGTGAGGGCAAGGAGTGCGCTGCAGGATTGATGGGCAGGACTGATGACTTGGGGAGGGGATGGGTGGGGCGGAAGAGGGGGGGTTGCGAGGTGAAGGACCGTTTTGAGGAGCACCGAAATGAGTCTGATTTCCCCAGGACCTGGTAGCCTGCGTTTACGCTCACTTGAGCCTGTGTGTCTACTATGTGCTTTGTATGTATGAACGTGTGGCATGGTGTGTGCATGGTGACATGCTGATATTGTGTGCATACATGGCGTGCATCCAACACGCGCCGCGCATGGTTTGTATGTGACGCATGGCATGGATTGTGACATGTTGTTTATGCGGTGTGCATGCATGGTGCATGGTGCATACTGCATGGCATGGTGCATAATGCATGGCATGGTGCATAATGCATGGCATGGTGCATACTGCATGGCATGGTGCATAATGCATGGCATGGTGCATAACGCATGGCATGGTGCATAATGCATGGCATGGTGCATGGCACACGTGACATGACACACAACACAGCAAGGCGGAATTTGACAAGATGATGGAGCGCAGGGCGGTGGACTTCCGCCTCGATGCCAGCCTGCGCAAGTACTGCCACAAGGACATCGTGGAGGTGAGAGTAGTAGTTGTGGTAGTGGAGTGGTAGTAGGGAATGGGACCATAGCGAGTACTGCCACAAGGACATCGTGGAGGTGAGAGAGGGGAGTAAAAGTGATGTGATAGTAGGGAATGGGACTACAGCCAGTACTGCCACAAGGACATCGTGGAGGTGAGTGAAAGTGGTGTGATTGTAACGGATGGGATTATAACTAGTAGGTACTGTCACAAGGACATCGTGGCTGTGAGAGGAGTGGATGTGACTATAGTGAACGGTGTGGGAGTATCGCAAACACTGTCACAAGGACATTGTGGAGGTGAATGAGAGGATTGAATGTAAATGTAGTGAAAATTCTGTACTTAACATGGCGTGGCGAACAGCTCTCTGTGCCTTACTTGCTATCCCGCCCTTCTGCCTGCACCAGACGTGCTACCCCGACGCGAAGGACATCAGTGACGTGGCGAACTGATTTCTCTGCCCCGCTCGCTGTCCTTCTTTTTGTCCGACCCCCTGTTGCGCTCCCTTTCCCCAGACCTGCTACCCCGACGCGGAGGACATCAGCGATGTGGCGAACTGGGACAGCAAGGTGATGGAGTGCCTGCAGGACTACAAGGAGGAGCTCAAGGACCCGCGCTGCCGCCAGCAGGTCCGATTCAGTTGGAGCGAGGGGGTCGAGAGAGCAAGGGAGGGATTGGGACAATGGGATTGAAGACCAGTGAGTGAACGTTTGAAAGACCAGTGAGTGAACGTGGTAGCAGTAGAGATAACAAGCAAGGTGATGGAGTGCCTGCAGGTCTACAGGGAGGAACTCAAGGACCCGCGCTGCCGCCAGCAGGTGCGCTGATGGGACAAGGGGATTTGGGAGCCAGGGGATTCGAGTGCCCGTGGCGGTAATAGGGACAGCAGAGCAAGCAAGGTGATGGAGTGCCTGCAGGACTACAGGGAGGAGCTCAAGGACCCGCGCTGCCGCCAGCAGGTGCGTGCACACAGCACACAAGCCCCCCAAACCCCTGCACCTATCCTCATACGCACACCCACAAACACACACGTACGCATGCACACACGCGCGCACACACGCCCAAGTACCCAGGCACAAACCCTAATCGGCTAAACACTAAACTCCCACGCCCAACCCCACGCACTCTTTCTCTTGGCGTCCCCCCCTTCCCCCTTATCTCCCGTGCACAACCTCACCAAGAGGACAGTGGATGAAATTCGCTTTGACCACCCTCTGCACGCTTTTTAAGACACTTCAATTACTCCCCCCCCCCCCCCCCTCCCCCCCCCCCCCCCCCGCGCCCTCTCTCCCGCTCCCTCTGCCCCCCATCCCGTCCCCCACTCTATCGCCCCCCCATTCAGGTCCACCGCCTGACCAAGAGGGCAGCGGAGGACATTCGCTTCGACCACCCTCTGCACGATGCCTGCCAACGTGAGCTTCTTTCTTTCAGAACCACCTCAGCTCAGCATACCCTCTTGTTCTTGATACAGCTGAAAACACGTGTCAGTCAGCTGTGCTGTTTCCAGCGTAACCTGTGCCTGTGAAACTTCCGCCAGCGAGAGCATCGAAAGAAAATTAATCTCAACTGTTCCAGCTTCCAGCCCATGGGTTTTGAGTCAAGGACATCTGTACCCAGGCAGGGCCATTTTCTTAGGATTCATGGAAAACACCTGCACTCAAAAACACACCTGTGCCCAACTGAGGGGCCATGTGCTTCTCATCTAGATTCTGCCCATCTGCTTGCCGGGGAAGGAAGTCGTGCAATATCTCACCTCTTCCCCCTCTCCTCTTTCCTCTCTTCTCTCTCTTCCCCTGTATCAGCCGACCAGGAGAAGCTGTGCAAGGACGTGCCTAGTGCCCATGCACGCATGTTCACGTGTCTGCAGGATCACCTCCCTACTACTCATGCTTGCCTTCTATTTCTCCCCTTCTCACTCTCCTGCTTCCTCCCTCGTCTCTACCAGCCGATCAGGAGAAGCTGTGCAAGGACGTGCCGAGCGGCCATGCGAGGGTCTTCACATGCCTGCAGGACCACCGCAAGGACCTGCGCCCCGTGTGCCGCGCTGCACTCTTTGACCAGGTGGGTGGGTGGGTGCTTCTCTCTTTGAGACCAGGTGGCAGGTGGGTATAGATAGTGCATGCACGTGCGAGTCTTCACATGTCTGCAGGACCACCTCAAGGACCTGCTCCCCGTGTGCCACGCTGCCCTGTTTGACCAGGTGGGTGCTGGCTGCTCTTGATGTGATTCTCGTACTGCGGTGGTGGGTCAAGGTTGCATGTGTACTGTGTAATGCTGGAGTCTCTTTTGAGTGTTTTCGAGAGAGTCTGCTGTGCATTGACTGCAGCTTACAGATCTGTGCATGTGTCTACTGACCTCCCTTGTTCAATCCCCCTCCCCCTTTGAATCCCGCTCCCTCTTTGAACCCCCTCCCTCTTTAAGCCCCCTCCCTCTTTGAACCGCCCTCTTCCTTGAAACCTCCTGCCCACTTTTAACCCTCCTCCCTCTTTCAACCTCCTCCCGATTTCAACCCTCCTTCTTTCAACCCTTCAACCTCTTTCAACGCTCCTCCCTCTTTCAGCCCCCCTCCTTCTTTCAACCCTCTTCCGTCCTACTTCAACCCTCCTCTCCAACCAGGTCAACCTCCTCCCTCCCATCTCATCCCCCATCTCTGCAGGAGATCCGCTACGCAGGAGACATTGACTTTAAGTTTGCCATGCGCCAAGCATGTGCCGACGAGATGAAGCGCCTGTGCTCCAAAGGTGAGGGTGAGGGGGGGGGGAGTAAGGCGAATGTGAGCACTGGTGAGTTGCATAGAATGACTGTGAATGTGGGTGTGAGTATGAGTGACATCGACTTCAAGTTTTCCATGCACCAGGCGTGTGCCGACGAGATGAAGCTCCTGTGCTCCAAAGGTGAGCAAGGGGCGTCTCTTGATGATATGAAGCCCAAGGCGATGCTGTAGTAATAAGGTAGAAGAAGGTCATGTGCCTGTCTCTGTGTTTCTTTCCATGCCCCTGTGTGTTTTCTCTCTCTGCTCACACAGCGCCCGGCGTGGAGAAGTGTCTGCCAGACATGCGCTGCTGACTGTGCATCTGCGTGTGTCTTGTCTTCTCTTTGCGTGCCTGTGTCTCTCTCCTCTGCGCTCCCAGCGCCCGACATGGTGAAGTGCCTGCAGGACCATGTCACCGATGCAGACATGAGCAAGGGATGTGCCGACGAGGTCAAGAAGGACGAGGAGCGCAGCGCACAGGGTGAGTCAGAACAGCTCCTCGTTGCAGCACTTACAGCATCTTTGAGATCGTTGCAGCAGGAACAGTACACTTTGCAGCATGCACTTTATCCTGTCCGTCTGAAATCCACCTGCTTCGAATCTGTGCAGCACCAATGCATAACCGCCTTGCACCACTCAGCACCGCTCACCACTTCTCTCTACGTCTCTCCCCCAATTCCCTCCTTCAACCAGATTTCCGCCTCAACTTCCGGCTGAACCACGCGTTCTTCGAGGACGTGCCGCACCTCTGCATGAACGCCTGTTCAGTGCACCCCTCCCCACTCCTCTCTACCTCTCTACTCCCATTCCCTACCCACCAGATTTCTGTCTTAACTTCCGCCTCAACCACGCGTGCATGAACCCCTGCACCGTGCACCGCTCAGCGCCCCTCACCACTCCTCTTTTTCCCTCCATATCTGAATCCCCATCCTCACCAGATTTCCGCCTCAACTTCCGGCTGAATCACGCGTGCTTCGAGGACGTGCAGCACCTCTGCATGAACGCCTGCGCCCCTCCGGGCGTGGAGGGGGCGATGGCTGCTGCAGCAGCGGCCGCGGGGCAGGCGTGTGGGGGGGCGGTGCTCAAGTGCCTTTCGGATAAGGTGTCTCAGCTGCAGAACGCCGAGTGCAGGGAAGAGGTCTTCTATTTTGAACGCAGGTACGTTTTGTTCCAAGCACAGATAACTGTTTGAAAAATATGTAATGCTAAACGGAACTTACCGGCTGCGGGGCAGGCGTGCGGCAGGGCGGTGCTGAAGTGCCTGTCTGAGAAGGTGTCTCAGCTGCAGAACGCCGAGTGCAGGCAAAGGCTCCAAGTGCTGAGTGCTGGCAGGGAGGAGGTGTTTACTTTGCCTCTGCCTGGCTCCAAGTGCTGAGTGCAGTATTGAAGCCAGGAATGGGGGTATGCCTCTGCTGTGCCCAAGTTCCTGTCTGAGTGGGTGGCTTCCCTGATCCCTTCACTCTCATGCCCTGTCCATGTCTCTCACTGTAATCACGGGCAGGTGGAGGACCCAGCACTGGACCTGTCACGTGCCTCTCCAGCAGGCATGCAAGGGCGATGCCGACATGTACTGTGGGCCATCCCCCATAGCCACTGCTACATACTGTGCAATTGTACTCGCTCCTTCCCTCGCCCCCTTCACCAATCACAGGCAGGTGAAGGAACCAGCCCTGGACGTGCCTCTCCAGCAGGCGTGCAAGGACGATGCCGACATGTCATGTGCTGCTTTCTCCCACTGTCACTGCCGCAGTGCAAGCAATCATACTTGGCCCCTGTTCTTCCACCTCCTCCACCAATCACAGGCAAGTGGAGGACCCGGCACTGGATGTGCCGCTGCAGCAGGCGTGCAAGGACGATGCGGACATGTACTGTGGCGCGGGGGCGGGGTATGCGGGGAGGGACCACAGCCGCACGCTCTCCTGCCTGCGGCAGAACAGGAAGAAGCTGTCGGCCCAGTGCAAGGCGGAGGAGCTGCGGTTCACTGCCATGGAGGTGGGTGCAGAGCGGTGCAGTGCGGTACAGTGAATTTGGTGGCAGGGTATGTTGGACATGAACATCACATATCACCTGAATGATTGTGGGTGGGAGCAGCATCAATTCTCCAATGCATGTTCACCATCCCTCTCTCTTTTCCCCTCTTGACCTCTCACCTGCCACCTCTTAATTTTTCTCCCAGCAGCAGACATCCCCCTGACCCAGACGCTGATGAAGGTGTGTGGATTGGAGTTGCACCAGTCTGTGCCATAGCCTTACATATCCCTCTATCCTTCTTCTCTCTCCACCACCAGGCATCGGACATCCGCCTGACGCCTACGCTCATGAACGCGCGTGGATTGGAGCTGCACCAGTTTCTGTCATGTGCCATAGCCTTGCCTCCTTTTCTCCTCGTTGCCCTCCCACCGCCTCTCTCCCGCACCACCAGGCGCCGGACATCCGTCTGACGCCCACGCTGATGAACGCATGTGGATTGGAGCTGCACCAGTTTTGTTATCCATGTGCAATATCCATCTCTCTCGCTCTCTCCTCCCTCTCTCTTCCCTTTCCTCCCCTCCCACCCCTTGCCCGCCCACCACCAGGCATCGGACATCCGCCTGACGCCCACGCTGATGAATGCGTGTGGATTGGAGCTGCATCAGTTCTGCCGCGGAGTGCCTCCCATGGGCGGCCATGCCTTCCGCTGCCTGCAGTGGCACATCCAGGAGGTGTGAACTGCTTTGGTACAAATAGTACATGCAGGAGGTGAGGCAGTCCCGCATGAGTGTGGCATGTCGTGCCGTGCCAAGGTTGACTGTCATACCATGCGCCAGTCGCAGTACTATGGCTGTGGCATCGCCTTGCAGTCCTCATACCTCACCCATCCCTTTCCACTCTCCCCTTCCCCCTTTATTGCCCGTCGCAGTATGCCGAACCAGCCTAGCCTTGCAGCTGCAGTGCGGGGCGACTCAGGCTCGCGCTCACCTCATTTTCCTTTCACCCTCTCCCCCTCTTACATTCTTTGTCAGTCCGGCATGAGTTTGGCATGCCGTGCTGAGGTGGACCTGCAGACCAGACCATGCGCCAGTCGCAGTAATACCGCACCGACATTGCCTTGCAGGCTGCAGTATTACTTACCCGTTTTCCTTTCCCCTCTCTACTCTTCATCCCCTGCTCCAGTCCGGCATGAGTGTAGCCTGCCGTGCTGAGGTGGACCTGCAGACCATGCGCCAGTCGCAGTACTACCGCACCGACATCGCGCTGCAGCTGCAGTGCGATGCTGACGTGGCGGATAAGTGCAGCGAGGTGGACGAGGCGGCGGAGATGTCAATGGGGGACCAGGAGACGGAGGGCGACTATGGGCCCATTCTGCGCTGCCTGCTGCAGTGGTACCAGACGCTCAAGCCTGCCTGCCAGTCTGAGGTGAGAAGGGTCACAGGGGTGATGCTTCAGGCAAAGGAGGGCGATTACGGCCTTATCCTGCGCTGCCTGCTGCAGTCGTACCAGACGCTCAAGCCTGCCTGCCAGTCTGAGGTGTGAAGGGTCACAGGGGTGATGCTTCAGGCAAAGGAGGGCGATTACGGCCTTATCCTGCGCTGCCTGCTGCAGTCGTACCAGACTCTCAAGCCTGTCTGCCAGTCTGAGGTGAGAAGAGCCCTGCCAGTTACAGGTGAGAAGGGCCTTTTTAGTCTGAGGTGAGAGGCACAAGGGTGATGCTGCAGGCTTTTGAGGTGCCTCAAAGGATGTGGAGGCGGGGACGTCAATGGGGGAGGAGGCAGAGGAGGGCGACCATGGCCCCATCCTGCGCTGCCTGCTGCAGTGGTGCTCAACATACGATTGCCTTTGTGTTTTCCCTGCTTTCCACTCGAAACGAAATTAGGTGATCTATGTTGTGTCGAAGCCGTGTTGCAACAGTGCTGGTCTCATCAAACCATGTCACACTGCTATTACCTGTTCTCATTCCTTGCCACTACCCAGGTGAACTATGTTGTGCGCAATGCCCTGCGGATGTTCCACAGCATCGCACCCCTCACCAAGCCGTGCCACCCTGCTATCAGCTGTTCTCACTTCTCCCTCTCCCCATTCCCTCGCTCCACACCAACCCACTCACAGGTGACCTATGTGGTGCGCAACGCCCTGTGGATGTACCACAGCAACGCGCCCCTCACCAAGCCGTGCCACACGGACATTGACGCCCTCTGCAACAGCACCAACGTGTCGGGCTTCAGCGAGCACAAGGGAGCAGTCGTGGGGGTGTTTGGGCAGTGCCTCGTTGACACGCCGCTCACGAAGATCTCGGACAAGCAGTGCCGGCAGATGGTGGGAGTGGTGGCGGGCAGTGGCGGGCACGTGGGAGGGCTGGTGAATGAGAATCAGCTGGAGGACACGCTTACAAAGATCGCAGAGGTGGGTTACAGCTGGATCTACAGTGAAAGCACCCATATTCTTGTTATAGCTTTTCTTATTATTCCATGTCCTCCTCTCATTCTCTTCCAACCTTTCCTCTCTTGATTTGACCGTGTGTGTCGCTCTGCCCACTTTCTTTCCAACCTTCAGATCCAGCTGGTGGCTCAAGCTGAGGCAGAGGAGCAGGCAGAGGGCTCTCCACTAGTGCTGACTGGGTGGCTGGCCTTCATTGCCATCACAGCCCTTGCTGCTCTGCTGCTCGGTGGTGGCTTCTTCATTTACCGCCGCTACTTTGACCCCCGCCGCAACTACACTGTGGTTGTCAAGGCTGGTGATGTGTGAAGCTGATATTCTGCACAAGGATCATAGAGTAACCGTGCATAGGCAAGCCCTTATTGCAACATCAGTTGAGGCTGGTTCATTGTGGCAGTTTACATTGGATTAGATGGCCTTGTTGAAGCAAAGTACTTGTGGATTCAACAATAATAAGCAACAGGGTGGATTGCAGAAGTGTGAAGAACTTCCACTTGGCATAGAGGGCTGTGAGTAATCGAGCCAGATTTAAACATTTGTTGTTACATCTCACACATATTCCGGTACTACTTCACAAAAATGATTTCACACTGAAGCACATGTACAGTAATTGTCACACTAAGCACACCGACCAGCCGTAGTCATGGTCCAGCTGAATCCTCAGTGCCAGGCCATGCCATGCATAAATTATCCTCATCCTCCTTGCTGGCTATTGAAGCTAGCACGCCTGCTGAGGTGCCCTCCTTCCAGGGGTAATGAAAGCGCAGTAGTAAGGGGAACGGTCATACTGTCATCATCAACTGGGAACAATTCATCCACTGGAGCAAGCTCTATTTCCACTGCCCTCCTTTCTGTCCCTGCAGCTACAGCCACAGCCAATGTACAATGACAAAATCACTTTGCCTCATCAAATCATTCTGTGTTACGCATCCGGCAAAAAAATGTGAGCATGGTACTGTTGTACAGCAACATAGCATTGCTAAGCGGTTGGTTACTAAGTAAAGAACTCACCATCAACTGAAGAAGAACTTGGACGATGTGGTTGAGGAGGCGTACTGTTCTGGTCCAGCTCCGCAAGACGCGGATGTGAACGGGACGGTGTTGCAAAAACTGGAGTCAAAAAGTTCTTGTCGATTGAAGCGAAGCTAGCCCTGCAGCAGAAGTTTTATCAGAAAAAAACATTCATAAAAGTGTTTGAAAAGCAAATCAGTCTTACTTCTCCTTCAGCTGCTGAAACTTCTTCTTCAAATTGCTTTGAGGTTTTTCAGGTGTTTGAGCTACCATTATCTCCTGCGTCTGCGAATCCTGCAGAATTCCATACATGGTCAAGATCACACACAAACCCACACACACGCATGCACCCCCTCATCCCCCTCTACTTTCCTCCACACACACAGACACATGATATTGGGTGCAAAAGGGAGCAGGTTACCTGATCATCATGTTCACTTCGGACCCCACTGCATTCGATCTTTAGCCACGAAAGCATGTGGGATGTCGCACCACCAATAAACAACACCTGTGCATCATATGACATTGTAATAAACAGATGAAGCTGGGCTGAATGGAGCCAGCATACAGTATTTTACCGTGAAAAGAACGAGCTGGATTGCAACTGGGAAGTTTCAAGTCAAAGAAATGCTCACTCACAGTGAAAGCAATCGTCAACAATGTTGATGTCAAAATAACACGGCCATATTCATCAGGAAGATCAGTAATAGATTGTAGTGCGAGGGCAAAGGCCATGGCTCCACGAAGCCCTGGAGCAAAGAATTGGGGTATACAGATGTCAACTATATGATGGAAAAGACGCGGTACAGCTAGATCAACGACAACATACCGCTAAACCACAGTGCATGTTGATGATTCATTGGTATTCTGCTTTGCTTCTGGCGAAAAGCATTGACAATGTATGCGAGGGGATATATGTTGAACACCCTGCAGGAGGACGCCCTCATTAGCAAGGCGCTTTCTTGAACCAGGTGAAGCAGAAGGTTAATCAAATACCTTGCAATAAGAATAGCAAACTGCGAGGCGATCAGATTAAGGTTAGAGAAACGAGCGAGAAGAAGAATCAGACGAAGGAAAATCAAAGCGCCTTACGATAGTAAACAGAGTAAATCTGTAGCTTCTCCAGCTTTGTTTCTCCAAGAATACCGCGACTCCCATGTATATAAAGCTGTGTACATAGGTGTACTCAATTGTTTGCTAACCCAACTGAAACAGCGGAAACTGGATATAACCATACACAAAAGTTTCGGATAACTTCGCAAGGATGGAGAAGAAGCTACTTGTTGTGGCCAGCGCCTTCTCATTCAGATGCGGAGCTGTGTAGTATCTCATCGTCTGAAATGATGAATCGATCAGTGAACTTTCCATGAGGAAAATTTGCAAATGCATTAACTCACCATTCCCGCGAAAAGGATGGCCACGATACCAGATAATTCAAAGGCATCAGCGAGCATGTACGCCATATAGGGAAATAGTGAAAGCAGGCAGGCTTGCAGCAAAGCGAGACTGCACAAAGTAGGACCACCAGGTCAACAGACTGCACCAAGACAAATTAAATTCAAAAAAGTTGTGTACCAATCTTACCCATCATCCTCAAAACCGCAATGCTTGAAGACAAGGGCACTCAACAAGCCCAAAATCACTCCTGCAAAGAAAAGAATGTACTTCAGCACCCGATAACAAAAAAGGGCATCATAAAGACATAACGGGTATACTCTTACCTATCGAGAACGAACCAATAAAATTGGCTAAGAAAAACGATATAGCAAACCATATTCCCCTGCCGTCAACCTTGGTAGTCACAAATGACAACATGGTCCTGTAGAGTACTATTGCGACCTACAGGTACAACAAAATCATGGATTAGCATCTGATACGAAAATTCGCCTAATCCACTTCAAATCAGGTGCATCTTACTGCATCATTGAGCACAGATTCTCCAAATACTTGAGCGTACAGGGTGCGGTCAACACCCAATTCCTGCAAACGCACAACAGCGCTCATCAGATGTGTCCCAACAGCAAGAGGATCATAGCATCAAGTAATGGTGTACCTGGAAAACTGCAAGAACCGATACTGGATCAGTTGCTGATATTAAGGCTCCAAAGGCAAGGCACACCATAATAGGCATGGCGTGAGCAGCATGCAACAGTCCAACAAAATACCTGTACAAAATCTCAACGAGACCTCAATCCGTGATTGAAGGATTGTGATTATTCAGAATGAATACAAAAACGGAAAAAGACCTTGCAAGCACGGATCAAGCTGAGCAGTTAACGGGCTCACATGAAGCATCCCACCACCAAGGTCGATATGAGTGTCCCAGCAAATGCGAATGTACAAATTGCTCCAAAGTTGTTAAAGAATGGTTTCTGAAACAGTGATTGGGTGTTAGCGACTGACAGCCAGTAGTAACGAGCAAGCTACGCCCAACACTTACTGTCTTCAAGCTCCATCCCGACTCAGTGGAATGTCAAATTGGTCAAAACGGTTAAGGAAAAAAAGGTTTTGTGCAAACACAATTGAGAAGAGAGTAGTCACATATAAAGCAATAAAAGACTCCAAGCTTGGAGCGTAAGTGCGGATGAGGAAGGACATGCGTGCGTAGTCTACAAGGCAAGGCGAAGAGAGCAAGATACCAAGGCGTAATGGCGGAGATATAAACATATTTAAGGACACAGACGACGTGAAAGGATATAATATTATCGGCGGCAGCAGGAAATAGAAGAAGAAGTTATTGTTGAAGTTAATCCATTCCCTGCGAAAACAAAGTATGTCGGAGTTTGCACGGCTGAAATCAAATAAGAGTTATAAACGCGGACTTACCTGAACTCCGAACCATGGCGAAGGAACTTCACAACCAGCCCTACTAGCACACCTGGAGAAAATAGCGCGTTTAGAAAGAATATAAACGAGAGCAAAATCGATATAATCGGCATACCAAAGGCTAACGCCGCGCCAGCTTCAGGGATTATAACTATTTTCTTCCGTCTAAGACCGTGGCCCACCAAAAGAGCGATCGCTAGCATAACCAGCTGAACCAGCAAAGAGACGCTAGCTATGTAAGATGCGCCTTTGGGAGCCATCGGAACGGGGATTTGACCGCACGGAACCATTCCCGTTGTGAAAATGCTAACGTCCGTGTCGTTTGCACTTGGCGTTAATACGCTGGCATCCGTATCATTTCCTAGGGTCAAGTTGAACCCAGATGCATCCATGGCGACGAATGTCAGGAACGCAAGAGTGGGAATGCAACCAAGACTACCAAGTTGTAAAGCTGGACACTAGATGTGTTATGCATTCGAAGCAGAATAGCAGGTGCAACAATCAGGCCGATTGTTGAGCTACCGTTTCAGGCAAGCCGAGAGGGCTGAAGGATGTATGGCCCGGGATGTCGGCACGGCACTGACGCGGAACATGAGTCACATTTTGGACGTAGAGCGCAGTGCAACAGAGCGGTTGGTTCGGCTGAAGGATGGGTAGGGTGAGTTGCTTTGTGTTTGCCAGCCCAGCAAATTGCGAAACTTGTCGTAGAAAGTTACCGTGCGAGGTTTTCGCTTGAAATTGAATCTCCAGTGCGTCGCGATTATCATCCCCACCCCACCATCACACCCTAGATTGTGCCTGCGACAATCAATCTTGGTTTTCCTCCTGCCTGCACCACACACAGCGAACCGTTAGCTCGCATCGCGTGCAGTATGTACTTCATCGTCGGAGTGATCTGTGACTTTATTTCGTTGACAAAGGAAGCGCGTAGTCTGCTACACCGTGTTTCCTGTTGCGAGCAGGTAGCATATCACAGATCCAAACTTCAATAATCAAATAGCATTGCAACACGATCTTTTCTTCGATGGCGTCGTCTGGAAAGGATAAGATCAACATACTTGGTGACACAGAGGTCGATCAGCTCGACAGGGATCTTCGCGAGTTTAGGAGGGATCTGGGCTCGTTAGCCGATAAACAGATCGCCAAGCAGCACGACGCCGCGCGGCGCGATTCGGCGACAGTGCGTACGACCCAGGGTGAGGCATCAATGCTTGAGCTCTGGTTGTTGAAACGTCCACATCTCCAAGTCAGCTCGCAATTTTCGAGGTCTTGCCTAATCTGAACCATGGGGCATAACCACGTCCACGATTCTTATACACTATGCCGTAATCGTCGCCTTTGAACGCAGATAAGCTAAACGAATTGAGGCAACTGGAGCAGGATTTTTTGGCTGAGGAGCAGAGGATCTTGAAACGTAAGCATCCCATGTTGCAAATTTCACAGCTTCAGTTTTTTCGAGAATGGCTGGGAGAGCACGCTGTTTGTGCTATAAAGAGCACTTGTTGCAAGCTGTCACTGCCAGTACACCTGCTTGTAGGTGTCACTTCCAGTCCAAGTTGCTTTTCTTTGTACCCCCATCTCATGTCTGGACTCGTTTGCCTTGCTTCCTCTCTCCGTCCCCTCCGCTCACCCCAGAGCAAGAGGAGCAGCAGGATGACCTGGACCGCCAGTGCGAGGAGATGGCAAGGCTGGGTCTGGACAAAGCAATGCTGGCGCCTCAGCTGGAGAAGGCGAAGGATTTTGTTGCAGAATTGGAGGCGGACGTGCAGGCAGAGGATGAAGGTGAGGGAGATGGAACAGCGGGTGATTTTTTCGCTCGGACGCAACAGTTGTGCATCAATCATCACCCATCTTTTCAACGTTTTGGTTGATTGTTTCTGATGCACAGCACTCGAGAACGCAGAGGAGGTTCGGCAACAGCGCATAGATGCCCTGCTGTCAGTCGTGATAAAGTTCAGAGAAGCATTTGGCCTTCGCTTTGACCCCAGTCCTGGTGCGTTCTCCTCTCGCCTTCATTTCTCAAGCCTGGTTCATTCCTTGCTTGGCATTCTACAAGACCTCTCCACCCTCACTACTTTCCTCGTTCCCTTTCTCTTGATGTTTCCTCTCGTGCCTCCCTCTTCTGACAAATATCATCCCATCTTATTTTTCTCCATGGAGCAGGTACACTCTCACTACACACACAACACAAACGCATTTGCACATTCATCACCACTACCTCCCTCGCTCTTTCTTTCACTGATTCTGCTTGTACCCCCCCCTCTTCCCGAAGCCATTCCATTATCTTTCGTCCTGTGGAGCATTACACCCTCGCCATACACACAACACACATGTTAGCACATTCACCCCCGCTACCTCCCTTGCTCCCTCTTGACACGTTCTCTCGATGATTTTGTTCGTGCTAAACTGCTACTGTGTTTCTGTGTACCATGACCCTTGTCTCCAGATGGCTTGCTCCGAATGACCTTTACAAAGATAGATCCCCTGATGCCCGAAAGGCAGTTCATTGCCCTGCTAGATATGGGCGGTGACAGGGACAAGAGCTTTCGAGGTACGTGAAGTGATAGTAAAGGGTGTAATGAACTCTATAACAGAAAGATTTTAAAGGGTGCCAAAAGTTCTTTCATTGTTCCTGTCGCTCTCCGCCGTCTCCATATCCCTCTCCCCCATTTCATCATTTCATCCACTACTCCAACCAGCATCCACCTTTTCTCCCTTATTTCCATTGAACTGCAATATCCATGCAGTGATAAGCAGTGACCCATCCATTCCAGGCTTAGCAGAGGCAGTGCAGCCAGCAGCAAGCGAAGGCGACCTGAGAGCATTGTTCAAAGGAATACACACTGAGTTCAAGAATGCTGTTGCTGAGGGATTGTAAAGCACAAATGGAGCCAACTACAGCAAGGCAATGTTGCAGGACATTCGGAGGTGACATGTCATGATGACCAACTATGACGATTCTTGAGGCGCCTCAGAAATATAGCCTGTTACAGCAAGGCAGTGTTGCAGGCCCTTCTGAGGTGACATGACATGTGATGATGGCCAACTATGAAATGAAGTTACAGGGGTGAAAGTGGTCCAGAAACTTGTAAATAGGCATGCACCATCCAACAGCATGTGAAATATTAGAACTGTTTTGCCAAACGTCATCTTTTTTTCTGTCTGCTCATGAACTCTCCGAGCACACAAGCAGCCCTAAGCAACCTGTTCCTCCTGCCTCTCTCACCATTTCAGGTTCGGCTTGAGTTGCTGATTGGGGTACCATACAATTGCGTCTTTGATTGATCCCATTTCGAATGTTGTGTAAGTGAAGCATTTTCCTGGATGAGCTTTGACATTATAAACCATTGATATATAACCCTAAACACAACTTGAGCTACAACTTCTAATCACACCATGCCAGAGCCATCCCTTGGGGAGCGCTCCAGGCCAGAGCCATCCCTTGGGGAGCGCTCCAGGCCAGAGCCATCCCTTGGGGAGCGCTCCAGGCCAGAGCCATCCCTTGGGGAGCGCTCCAGGCCAGAGCCATCCCTTGGGGAGCGCTCCAGGCCAGAGCCATCCCTTGGGGAGCGCTCCAGGCCAGAGCCATCCCTTGGGGAGCGCTCCAGGCCAGAGCCATCCCTTGGGGAGCGCTCCAGGCCAGAGCCATCCCTTGGGGAGCGCTCCAGGCCAGAGCCATCCCTTGGGGAGCGCTCCAGGCCAGAGCCATCCCTTGGGGAGCGCTCCAGGCCAGAGCCATCCCTTGGGGAGCGCTCCAGGCCAGAGCCATCCCTTGGGGAGCGCTCCAGGCCAGAGCCATCCCTTGGGGAGCGCTCCAGGCCAGAGCCATCCCTTGGGGAGCGCTCCAGGCCAGAGCCATCCCTTGGGGAGCGCTCCAGGCCAGAGCCATCCCTTGGGGAGCGCTCCAGGCCAGAGCCATCCCTTGGGGAGCGCTCCATCCCTTGAGGAGCGCTCCAGGCCAGAACCATCCCTTGGGGAGCGCTCCAGGCCAGAGCCATCCCTTGGGGAGCGCTCCAGGCCAGAGCCATCCCTTGGGGAGCGCTCCAGGCCAGAGCCATCCCCATGGGGAGCGCTTTAGGCCAGAGCCATGCTCCTCAAGAGCGTTCTTGACTTGATGCTATCCTGGAGGAGAGAACTGAAAGCAAAGCCACAGCTGAATGGCAGCATATTTTCACCCTTCCAACCCCCACCAGGTTCCCAACCCACTCTCCCGAACACCCTGGCAAGCAGGGTGCAAAAAAGGGACCCACCATCATCCCACTTCCCAACCTCCCAACCACCTCCCCACAGCTGCAATCTGCTTGAGGTGCTTCTGTGCTCTCCACCTTCATCCCGCTGGAATACTCCTTTGCTGCTTATCGAATGAATTGTTTTTAGTTTTCTTTTCGTTTTTTTTTTTTTTTTCCACTTCTTTTCGTTTTTTTTTTTTTCCTGGTTTTTTTTTTTTTTTTTTTTTTTTTTTTGAACCCAAGAGGAAATCAGGCCCCCTTTCTCACGGGGATCCACTGGGAGGTGTCTCAAGGGAGGTCCCCTTTCTCATATGACCCGGGTGCAGTCTTGGTGGATCAGCGCGTTGGAGGTTAGAGCTTCCGTAAGGATTACGGCCGCCATGGACGCCGTGAGCTCGCAGCGAGCACCACCTTGGACGACAATCCAGCACGAACCTTTTTCGCTGCAGCCGCGGAGATTGCATCACTCCTGCCCTCAAGCTGCTTCGTACCGTTGGAACTCCTTCTGCTTCGCACCTGCCTCTCAGCTGCAGCGGCTCGTGCGGGTCGTGGGATCAGCGTCGTCCCCTCCGCGCGGCTTTTCACGATCATTCTTTGACCGCTTGGTTTAGGGATGCGAGAAGGCAGCGGCTGTGAGGTAGGTACGGAGCGTGTCGCTGGCTTCGCCGAACCAGCTGCTACAGCCATTAGAGGACATCCAGTCGGCAGCAGTGATGTTGCTGGTTCGGACGACAACAATTCCGATGCCGCTGGATTCATCGTTAACGCCGGTTCTGACGCCACCGCTGGTACGGCAGGCGTCATCAGATGAACGATCTAGCGTCGTCGGATTTGAGAAGGTCGGTTCGGATGTCTCCGATGCCTGGCTTACTTTGCTCATGTTGCTGGAGGAGCGCGGAGATTGAAGCAATGTTTCAGTCTGCTTGTCGCGACCGAGGCTCTTCCAGAAGCTAAGAGCATCCACATACGCCGGGTAATCAGAGGCCATGGCAGTGAAAACGAGGAGGTAAGTGAGAAGCCTGAAGCTGATCCGAAGGCTGAAGCTTCTTGTGAGCAAACGAGGACAACTGTACTGCTGGTATTCCTTGGCTGCATTTGTATCCAGAAAGCGAAGTCGGAGAGGGGTTTGGAGGGGAAACTGGGAAGGCTTGACTTCGCTTGTTGGTTGGGCTGGCTCGGGACTCGAGATTGTCGCACCCCCGCCCTGCCCGAGCCAAGTGCCCCGCGAAGAACGCGAGGCTGCCCAATTTTGCTATCCCTGGCATCGTTCCGCCTTCTGCACTGCCCTGACCGACTCACAGCCGCGGTTCGCGGATGAAAAAAACGTTTCCGATGCCTGACCGAAACCAATATTTTCGTCTTCGCACTGCTGAGCTTAAAAAAAAATGGAAGCTCGGGCAGGGTGGTGACATGCTCGGGGCAGCCACTTAACAGCTTTGGTGAACCGCGCTAGCCGCTCTGCAGTACCCCAAGCCTGAGCGCAATTCCCGAAAGCTTCGATTTCGAGGCTTGCGCCAGATCCCTAAGCTTTCGATACCGAACCTCGTTGCCTCGGCTCCTCCATTCAAGCCGAACCGTATTTCAGCGTGTTCAGCGCTGGATTGAACATATTGTATCCTATTATATTATTTCAATTCATACCTGCAACTCAATTCCTAAATATGGCATTCAACGTGGTATGGTAGGAAAAACACCAAGGCAACAGCTGGTTCTAGTCGGATAAGAAATATAAATTTGCTGCACTGTGTTTTTCCTGTGAGTGACAGCACCACTATGGTAGGGTATGAAAGCTACCATGTACACCGGCACATGGATGATGACTAGGTTGAGGTGAGGTGATGAGACAAAATTCTTCCTCAAGTAGCCTAGCTAATATTGTAAAAAAACCTAGCATGCTCTATCTCCGGGTAGCTCTGAATGTTTTGGGAGGTTGGTCATGCCGTACGGTGTACTCATCCTTCCTAGACCCATGCTGCTTCATGCTGCTTCCCTCCCCCACACCCCCTCTACGACCACCACCACCCTCCTGCCCACCCACTCCCACCTTCTTCCCCTCTTCCTCTCGCTTCGACTCGTGCACCCGCCCTTCCTGCTTGCTCTGCTGGCTCTCTTCTGTCTTCCTTCCAGGCAAACCTCCTTCTTGCCGTCGGAAGGTCAGCTTCCGTTCCGCACCACTCCCACAACTGTTGCTCCTTTCGCCCTCCCCACGCCTCCGCACACTCTCCTGGTCAGCTGCACCTTCTGCCCCTCCTCCTGTGCTCGCCCCCCCATTCTCCCTCACATTCGCACCCCCATCACGACCATTAAAGCCCTTCTTTTCATTCACCCAGCTCCTCTCGCCCTGCTGGATGTTCGATCCGCGCCTTGCATCCTCCCTCCCCCCCTTACTGAGTGTAATCCCCCTTTCTCTAGCCAAGTCACCCTCCATATCCAATCGCCTCCCATCCTTGTCAAACCGCTGCTTGTTCTCCCTGCTCCCTTCACTCCTCTTCAACTCCTTGTTCTCCTCTCTTTCCCTCACCCTCCCATCTGCCCTTCCTCTTATCTTCTCATCATCCCTAGCCATGCTATTTCCAGCTGCCCTGTCTTTCTCCATATCATCTCTCCCCAACCCGCTTCCCCCGTCCCTCATCATTTCTCGACCCCGCACTTCCCTCTCTCTCGCCCATCCATCTTTGCTATCTCTCCTCCTCTCGACCACCCTTCCCCTGTCCCAGTCATTTGAGTGCTTTCTCTTGTTCCAGAATCGGTCCTTCATTCCGCCAGCTCTCCTATCCCTATCCCTCTGCTTCTCTTCTCCACTTCTACCCTGTCCTTCTCTCTCCCGCTGTTTCCCGCTGTTTCCCGCTGTTTCAGCCTGAAAACCCTTCCCTACATCGTCCCTTCTCACTCCCCTTTCTCTCTCATGGTCTCTCCTCAATCCCCTTTCTCTCTTATCGTCCCTTCTAAACCCCCTTCCGTCTTCGTCCATTCTCAGCTCTCTTCCTCTCTCGTCTTCCCTTCTAGCTCCCCTGTCCCTTTCATCCCTTTCCTTGTGACCCACGTCTCCCTTCACCTCCAACTTTTCTGCTCCACTTGACCTCACATTATCCTCACTCATCGTTGCCTCTTCATCACCTTTTACATGATCCATGCCCTTCCCCTCGTACCCTATGCGTTTCCCCATCCCTTGCTGCATTCTCCCCTCCTTTCTTCCCTGTGCAATCTCCTTCCGTAACCCATCTCCTCCTCTCTCCCGCCCATCTCCACCCCTCTCCCGCCCATCTCCACTCCTCTCCCGCCCATCTCCACTCCTCCCCCACCTCTCTCCACGCCTCTCCCGCCAATCACCACTCCGTTTTCCCCCACCTGCACTCTCTTCTCGCCTCCTCTTCCCAAGCGATCCCACTTCACGCCCTGCATTCTCTTCCTCTCCTCCCCTCGCCCTCTGCACCTCCCCTTCCCTCAACCTGCTTCCAGGGACCCTTTCCCTACTACCCCCACCTGCCACATTACCCCTCCACACTCTCCCCTGACCACTTCCCCTTCCACTGCTCCCAACCCCTGTAGCCTCCCCTCTCCTACCTCCCTCAACCTTGCTCCAGCTCCTTTTCCCTCCAGAGTTTCGAGACCTTTCAAAACTCCTCCTCTCCCCTTCCACAATCCTCCCTCCCTTCTCCTCACGTGCTCTCCTCACACCTCCCCCACCTCCTCCGTTCCTCTCTTCTCCCATCCTCTGCACCACAGGTGTGCTCCTCGCCCCTTCTCCTTCTCCTCTCCCTCCTCGTCTCTCCACCCTCATCCCGCCACTGCTGTTCCCCACTTCCTCCCCACGCTCTCCTTCCTCTGCTGCTCCTCCTCCCGAAGTCCCTTCCCCAGCCACTATCCTTCCTGCATTCGTCCCTTGCTCCTCCCTCCTCCTGCTCCTCTCACCAGCAGGAATCCCAGTGGCTTGCCTGCCCCCACTCATGCTACTCAAGCTGCTGCTACTGTCGCCGCTACTGGTGCTACTCGTCTCTTCACTACTGCTGCTGACACTGCTGCTGCTAGTGCTCTCACTGCTCTCACTGCTACCACTGCCATCACTGCTGCTAAAATTCCGCATGCTGTTGCTGCCCCTTGGCCCAGCCATAAGCTCGCCTCCATCTGCCTTCATACTTGCACCCGAGTTGAGCCTCACATTCCCATCACCGCGCTCCACCCTGCCACGGTTACCATGCCCCACTATGCCACCACCTCCATGCCCCTCCAAGCGGTCCGGTTGGAGGGGCTCTGCTGCTGATCCCCCCACTTCCACCCTCTGCCGCTTGCCCCACCTCCCACCCACCTCCCCTGGATCTGACCTCTCCCTTTCCATCCCTTGTCCAACACCCCTCTGCAACCCCACAACTCCCAAACCCTCGCGCCCCTCATCTTGTCCCTCTGCCTCTATCTCTCCTGCACCAAGTGCAGAAGACAGAGGCAGGGCACGGGGCATCAGAGGAGGAGCAGGAGGCAGCAGAGGGAGGGCCGTAGGTATGAGTGATGGTGGGGCGTGGGGAGAGATGGAGCAAGGCGCTGGGTAAGGGGATGGAGGGATTGGCATGGCTGTATGGGAGGGAGAAGGCACGATGAGAGGCGTTGTGCGGGAGGGAGATGGCACGGCAGCTGGAGAAGTTGCATTCAGTGCAGCAGCAAAAAGGGTTACGGAATGGGGAGGAGGTATGGAAGGGGAAGAGGGCATGGGAGGGGACGAGGGTATTGGAGCGGAAGGGGTTGTCTGAGCATGAGGGAAAGGGACGGCATGAAGAGCAGGGGGAGAAAGAGCATGTGGGGAATCGAGGGCCAGATGTGAAGAACGAAGGATTGAACCCTGCGTGATTCCACTGTCGTGTAGCTCGTGAGTGGGAGGCTGCTCCTGATTGCCCAAGGGTGAGTCCGGAAACATTCGGCTCCACCAACCTTCATCTCCACCATCCCCACCACCCCCATCATCCCCACCCTCCCCTCCTCCCACTCCTCCACCCCCTCCTCCCCCTGCTCCGCCCTCATCTGCTCCCCAAGAGCTAGGCCCCAGGTTCCCATCCCCCCACATGCCACCCGCCTGCTCCTCGCCCCTCCAAGGCACTTGCACCGCACCGCACCGCACCTTGCCCACGGGCTCGTGTTTACCACCCACATCATCACCGTCCCCATCCCCATCAACCCCGCCCCAGTCGCTGGGGGCAGAGGACACTGTCTCCCTGCCTGCACTGGCTGTGCTCCCGCTCTCACCTCCCACACTCCCTTTTACAGCCATCACCCCTTTTGCCTGCCCCATCCCATCCTTTCGGATTCTCTTCGCGCGCCCCTCTGCTGCGCACTGCCCCTCCTCTCCCATCCTGCCCTCCTCTCCCACCCTGCCCTCCTCTCCCTCCGCCCTCACCCCTTCGTGCCCCACAAAGCCCCCAAACTCTTCTAGCACTCGCTGATGTGTGCCCACATCTGAGGAATCATGCGTGTGACCCTGTGCATCATGCGCATGTGCATACGCATCCGCACTTCCATGTGCATATAGATCCCCTGCTGCCATCCCATGCACATGGCTCCATGCCACACCTCCCTCCTCGCCATCCCCTCTCTCCCTGTCGCTGCCTTCACCCATCCCCACAGACACCTCCCTCCCTGCACCACCCACGTGGTCCCCACCCATGTGGTCCCCACCCACATCCTGAACTTCAGCCACCATCCTATCTAACTCACTCCACAACTCCTGCTTCCACTGCTCCTCTTCCTCCTCCTCTTCCGCATCCTCTTGCTCCTCTTCCTCCTCTCCCTTCTCCTCTTCCTCCTCCTCCTCCTCTTCCTCCGCTCCCTCCTCCTCATTTACTACCACTGCTCCCGCTTCCTCTTCCTCGAAGCCCCCCACTGTGCCTTCCTCTCCCTCATCACTATCAATAGCCTCCTCCTCCCCTCCCTCCTCCTCCTCCCTTTCGTCGTCACCGTCCTCCTCCTCTTCCTCCTCCTCATCCTCCTCCTCCAATTCTCGTTCCCACTTACCGCCATCTATTCCCACTCCCTCCTGATCCTCCATCCCAAATTCCTCGTTCTCACTGTTCACCGCATTCAACCCATCCGTGCTCACCACACGCACATGCACGATCTCTTGCAACCGCAATCTCTCCGCCTTCTCCCCTTTCACCACCACATGCACCCAGTTCCCCTCCAACGCATATCTTTCCTTCTCCCCAGCACTGGCCTCCTGCCCCTCCTCCTCTGTCCCCGCACACTCACTGTTTTGGACTCTCCCACACACCTCCTCCTCCTCCTCCTCCTCCTCCTCCTCCTCCTCCTCCTCCTCCTCCTCCTCCTCCTCCTCCTCCTCCTCCTCCTCCTCCTCCTCCTCCTCCTCCTCCTCCTCCTCCTTCCCCTCCTCCTCCTCGCTCCTCTTCCCACCTGTCCCCTCACTTACTTCCCACACGTCCCTTCCCCTAAGCCCACCCCTTCCACCTCTCCCCCTGCCCCTCGCTCCAAATCTCACCCCTTCCGATTCTTCCTCCTCACCGCATGGCACCTCTGCCAACCGCTCACTGACCCTCCCTCCGCCTCCCCTGCCTCTTCCTCTCACCTGCCTGCCTCTCCCTCTCTCCATGTCCCTGCTCATCCTATCCCTCTCCCCCACTCGCCTTCCCCCACCCCTGCCCAGCAGACCCACCCCTATCTCCTCTTCAAAATCAATGTCTCTCCCACCCCGCCTCTCCTCCTCCTCTTCCTCCTCTTCCTCCTCCTCCTCCTCCTCCTCCTTCTCCTCCTCCTCCTCCTCCTCCTCCTCCTCCTGCTCCTCGTTTTCTTCCTTCCCTTCCTCATAACCCAATGACTTCTCCTCTTCCTCCTGCCTCCTCCCTCGCTTCACACGCCCTCCCCCAACCACCTTTGCACCGTTTTCAACCACCTCCTCACCGCCCCCTTCTCCCCACATCACCTCCTGCAACCTCTTCTGCCGCCCACCTCCCTCCACACCTACCCCATCGCCCCCCACCACAGCCCCCCCTTCTCTGCAAACACCCTTATCTGTATAACCACCCGCACCTGCCTGTGCTGTTAAACGTGCAGGCACACCCGCATCCCCATAAGCGACCGCATCCCCACTCGCACCTGCATCCGCACGTGCCTTTTCCTCGAGGCCCAGGCATCCACGGCACGTGTAGGAGGGCTGTCGCAGGGCCGTGGTCCACCCCTTCACGCCGTAGCCCTTTCGGCGTTTGAAGCACTGGTAGCAGAAGCGGAGGGCGCACAGGGAGCACTGCACTGCTGCTCCGTGCCCCCCGCACCACACACATGCGGATTTGTTACCATCAGTACCAGAAGCTGCTGCTGCTGCTGCTGCCGTTGCTGCTATTGCTGTCGCTGCTGCTGCAGCAATAGACGTCGCTGCTGAGGCAGGTGGAGGTGGTGGTGGTGATGCCAGCAGCTTCGCTTCACACTCCTCCTTCACAGCGATTCGCTGCTCCCTCATCCCAGCACCCTCTCTTGTCCTCTCGCCACTCCCTCTTTTCCTCTCATCACACACCTTTGCCACCACTCCTGCTCTCCCCTTGCCGCTCTTTTTCTTCCGCTCATCGTGCTCCTGTGTCTCCCAGGGATCCCTTGCGCCATCAGCACTCACCCCATCATCTCCACCATCACCATCAACGGAGGCAGCAGCAGGGGCAGCAGCAGAGGCGGAAGCAGCAACACAAGGACTGGGGAGGTTGGAGGAAGGAGAGGTGTTCTCGTGGAAGGGAGTTGATGGTGTGAGCTGAGCTGCCTCTAGCTGCTGCATTCGGGCCTGATGAGAAAGCAAAGGGGTGGGGAAGAAAATGGAGGGGGAAGGAAGTGGAGCGGGATACTCAAGGAGAGCGGGTGAAGTCGACTCACAAAAGCAGAGCGGGTGAGGTGACCCTTGTGTGCCATTGAAGCCAAAAGGAGCATGGCAGCACCGCGGCGGCTCATAAACGGACAACAACACATTGCATCCATTCCCAAGCATGGCATATGGCCGCCACTCACGTGCGCGAGGTGAAGCAGCGACGGCATGCCTCCATTCGCCTCCCGTCGCTTCCTCCAATGCTCCCTCACTGCTCCCATATGCTCCCTCACTGCCCCCATGTGCTCCCCCAGACACCATAACTCCCACTCTTGAGCCGTCTCATCAACAGCCGCATTCACTGGCCCCACGTGCCCCGCCTCTCCGTCTGCACGCCTCTTCTCCCTCTCCACCTGAGCCCCACCACAACCTTTGTCAGAAACCATAGCTGCGTTCTCATGTTTAGCAGTGCCATGCGTGGCATGGGCACCTGTGGGAGAGGCTGTTGCCTCCTCACCCCCCTGCACACCTGCAGCGTGTGCGGCACAGAAGGCCGTTACCTGTCTCTGGTACAGGTCGGTCTCTCGCACCTGTGAGAGGCAACGAAAGAGGTGGGGTGGGGTGGCAGGGTGGGGGAGCAATAGGTAGGAGATGATGGAACTGAGACGCCTGACACAAAGAGCAGCTGCAGCGTGTGCGGCACAGAAGGCCACCACCTGCCTCTGGTACAGGTCAAACCCTCGCATCTGCAAGAGAAAGAAGGTCAAGGAGGGGAGATATGGGGAGGGAATGATGAACGGGACGAAACGGACAGCACTTCAGGTTAAGGATAAGGAGGACATGGAGTGGGGATTTTAAGAAAGTAAACGAAGAAGAAAACGAAGGTCGACTGGAGACGATTGCACATGAACAGGCAAATCTTCCTGTGCCAGAAGAGGAGCGTAATTTCATGAGTCAATGAGAGCGAGTATTCATGCGTGCTTTAGCGAGTCTTACAATAGCGGAGCAGCCATGCATCAGGCCACAGCGAACGTGAAAGCGGGTGGCGCAGAGAGGGAAGGCACAGGGCAGCAGGTCAAGAGGGCCGTCCGGCTGATGGCAGAATGCACAGCGCGCCACTGCTGCTGCTGAAACACCGGCTGCTGTTGCTGCTGATACTGAATGTTGTCTGCTTTCTGCCCTCTTCTTTGCAGCAGTTGCCACACCCCTGTGCATGGAAGAAGAGAGACAGGTGAATGACAGAGGGAAGGGGGGAGCAAAGAGGGAGAAGGGAACAGAGAGGCGTGAGAGAGTAAAAAAGGAGAGATCAACAGAGGCAGAGAAGAGTTGGGTATTAAGGAAAGAAACAACAGAGGAGCAGAAACGGACTCAAATGATGGGTTGAAGCGACTCACATGATGGGTTGAAGTAACTCACATGATGGGTTGAAGTAACTCACATGATGGGTTGAAACGACTCACATGATGGGTTGGAGGGACTCAGCACTGCCGAAGAACACATGGCAGTCGAAGAGAGCACATGTGATATGCACCCAGCGCAGGTGCCTCAACGCAGCTGGCATGCGCTTCGAAGCAGGCGGCATGTCCCTCGACGCAAGAGGCATATCCACGTCTCCTTGCTGTTTCGCGCTGCCCACTTGAAACGCGTCAGTGACTTGTAAACGCATGGCCTTGTCATCATGACCCCTGCCTGGGTCACCCTTCCCTCGACCTCCACCGCTCCCACTTGCACTGCAAGATCTATTCACCTCCCCTGCTGCATCCCTCCCACCGCTGCCACGCTCCCTCTGCACCACCCTCTGCTGAACTCCCTCCTTCACCCCGCTCCGCTCTTCTTTCAGCGCGACAGGACCAGCAGCACCCACTGCGTTGATCTCACCCTCTTCTTTCATTCCTTTGCCCAATTCTTGGCAGCTGCTGCCGTCTCTCTTCTTTCCCACCCTAGCTTGCCACTCTTGCCTGTGCCTGCCCTTCCCCCGCCCCACGCTGTTCTTTTCTCCCTGGCCTTGCATCCCTCCTTGCCGCCTTATGATCTTGTGCGTCCTGCCATCGTGGCCGTTGCTTTTGCTGCTCTCATCACTGCTGCTCCCACTGCTGCTGCTGCTTCTCCCGCTGCCACAACTATCGCTCTCACTACTGCTTCCGCTGTCGCTCTCACTTCCGCTGCTGCTGCCACTGCTACTGCTGCTACTGCTGCCACTGCTTGTGTCCACACAGTTATTGCTTCTTTTCTGTTTATTCCCCTTGAATCAAATTCACCTATCACACGTTCCTCTTTGTCGCTCTCTCCTTCCTTCTCCGTTCTCCCTCCACCCTGCCCATCCCTCCCACTAACCTCTCCCCCTTTCCCCTCCCGCCCTCTCCCATCTTTGCCACTTTCACGGCCTGATTCAGCACCTCTCCTTTCACTCTCCTTCCCCTCACGTCCCGCACCCTTCCTGGAAACAAGTCCCGGCCGCTCTTGCCCCTCTCTCCTCCTCCTCTGCTGTCTGCTCTCTGCTCGTCTCCTCATCAACGCCCGATCATCCTTCCTCTCACCATCCAACTCCCCGCCAGCTTCCCCTCTCATCCCTACTCCCCCTGCTCCTCCCACGTGCCTAGCCTTCACAGAACGCCCCTCTGTCAATTGCACCTCTGCCTGCCCCACGCCCTCCCCACGCTTGCCAGGCCCTTCCCACTCGTCCCGCTCCCCCCGCCCCACATGCCCCTCGGCATCAGGGGGGAGAGGACCATCCACGCACGGCTTGAACGCACCCCCTCCGGTAACGCGGCACAAGGAACAGCTGAGGAGAAGGTGGGGAGTGAGGAGTTGATGTTGAGGGAGGGGGTAGGAGGGGGGGGTGCAGGGGTGGGGGTGGTGGGCGTAAGGACTGGCAGCAGGCAGGGATAATGCAACCATGCAGATTCAAAGGTTTAAAGCCATGGACGTGTGACAGGAATGTGGTGAATGAAAATGACAAGAGGAGAGGCGCTTGGCAGAAGAGGCAAGAGCGCACACAAGAGGCGGCAAGGAGGTGTGCACACATCACCACTTGACTTGAACCACCTGGTACTCACGTGAGGGGAGGCGGCTGAGAGCAGGTGTTGGCAGCAGCGGCGCCGCTGCTACTGCACGTGCAGGCGTAGAGATGGCACGGCACACAGCGCCACTTACCTTGAGCTACCTGGCACCTCCCTCTCTTCATGCACACATACTCACGTGAGGGGAGGCGGCTGGGAGCAGGTGCTGCTAGCAGCGTCACCACCACTGCTGCTGCACGCGCGGGCGTAGAGATGGCACGGCACACAGCGCCACTTGAACCGCCTCGCCACTGCCTGCTTGGTCAACTGCACGCCCTCACCAGCAGCAGCACTGCCACCAGAACTGCCCGCACCAGCAGCACCCCCACCGCATCCACCCTGCATTGGTTCCCCCCCTTCTCCTCCCGTCTCCGCCCCAGCCCCCTCCGCCCTCTCTCCCTTTTCCCCAGCTTCCAGTGGGAGCAGCGGCGGCAGGGGGGGGGTGTGGATGGCAGAGGAAAGGAGGGAGCGCGCAGCCCAGAGGGGGGGGAGGCCCACAGCGCCGTAGCAGAGCTGGTGGACTGCTGTGGCGCAGAGCGAGCAGCAGAGGAACTGATGGGGAGGGGAGGGAGAGGGGTGGGGAGAGGGCGCATGGGGTGGATAGGTGGGGAGATTGAGGGAAGAGAGAAGGCCCACTGCGAAGTAGCAGAAGTGGTGGACGGCTGAGACGCAGAGCGCGCAGCAGAGGAACTGGTGGGGAGGGTGAATGGTCACGAAGAGGATGGATGGGCAGGGAGGTTAGGTGAATCGTGAAGCAAACAGCATGCAGGTGACTGCAGGGAGTTGTGGCTGTCACATCACATGTCCATGCACGCAAAACAAGCACGGTACATGCTGTGCCATGCCAACCCACACACAGCTTGGGACCTGACGCCCTGAATGAGCGTGCCTGCATGCATGCATGCATGCATGGATGGTGCGGCACTCACAGGATTGTAGGGCGCCTCTCCCGGTTGGAAGCACACATCACATCGCAGTGCCCCAGCATCATGCCGCATGGCCTTTGGCCCCTGTGGCGCACCTCCCACGCCCTCCTCCCTTGCTGACCACAAGCCTCCTGGCTTGTTCTTGAGATCAGAAGCATCAACGTGGACCACCCCCCCAGCAGCACGTGCACAGGCAGCATCCACATCATCGGAAACACCATCATCATCATTATCATCATCAACAGCAGCAGCCGCAGCAGCAGCCACAGCACCATCACCATCAGCAGCAGCAATGGCAGCAGGAGCAGCATAGAGGGCAGCAGCAGCAGCAGGAGGGTGCAGGTCCAGAGAGGCCATGCACGCCTCAAACGCCTCTTCTGACAGGCCCAGCTTCTGAGACGCCTCAACACTCCCTCTCCCACCTGACTGCTCGTTCCCAGCTCTTGTACGCTCATGCGCATGGGCATGGGCATGGGTATGGGTGAGTCTGCTGTTGTAGGCTGTCAGCCATGCAGCATCCTCCTCATCCATGTCATACTGCATGCCATGCTGCTGCACGGCAGAGCGCAGCACTCGCCTGTTGACTGGTGGTAAGCCGCCATCCACTCCCTACCAAGCACATACACACAGCATGGCGAAGGACAGATAATGAGATGGAGCGACCTGTCAAATAGGCACAGTGAAGGAGAGAAGGCAAGTTTCAGAGCAAATCGGGGAAGCAATTTTACAGGTAAGTAGGCAGGCTGAAGAGGGGTTCACCTGAAAGAGGCTCGCCACACCCGATTGCCACGAGATGGGCGCATTGTCTACCTGGGTGCTCACACCTGTTGTTCACTGAGGGTGAGAGCACGCTCACTTAAATGAGGGTGGACCTTACCAGGATATGTTGCTCCTTAGCCCTCCGTTCCCCACTGCTTGGCTCTGCCTTTTTCCAGTTGCCCAGGGGCTGCAATTGATGTTCCTCCTCTTCTTCGCTGCTCTCCGCTTCCTCCTCCTTTATCTTCTTGTCTTCCTCTCCCCTTCTCTTGTGGTCTTCCTCTACCCTTCTCTTCTCTTCTTCCTCCTCCTTGTTCTCCTCTCTTCCTCATTCCTTCTTTTCTCTTCTTCCTCTTCCCTTCTCGTCTCCACTTCCTCATCCATCCTTTTCTCCTCTTCCTCTTCCCGTCGCTTCTCTCCTTCTTCCTCTCCCTTCTCTTCTCTCTCTTCTCCTTTCTTCCTCCCTTCTCTTTTCTTTTTCCTCTTCCTCTTCCAATGTCTTCTCGTCCCCTTCATCATCTCTACTCTCTCCTCATCCTCTTCCCTTTTCTTCCCCTCGTCATTTCTCATCTCTTCTTCCTCTTCCTCATCTCCTCGTCTTCCCCTCCCCTCTCATTCTCCACCCCCTCTTCCCTTATCTTCTCCCCTTCCTCTACTTCTCCCTTCGCCTTTTCCTCCATCCTTCCCTCCTCACCCGTCACCCCTCTCTCCCTTTCCTCCACGTCCTTCCTGAAAGCTTCGCCCTTCCCTTCTTCAATCAACATCCACACTCCTGAGTCACTACCTCCAGGTAAGGGTCTCACAACCTCATCCTCTTCCCCTACTCTTGCATCACCCGCTCTCATCGGCAGCACATCAGCAGGGAGAGAAGGGGGAGCGAGGGTGGCCGTGCTGTGAGCGGCTGCACTATCTCTCAGGCTCACAGCACTGCCACCCTCTTCCTCAACACCAGTGAATATCTGCCTAACTCCTCCAAACCTCCCACTGATTGCGTCGCAAATCTCGCTTTCTTTTTCTACCCACAGACTCCCTTTCCTTCCTTCATGTACCTTACCCTTCTCTTCCTCTCCCTCCTCTTTCTCCCCTGCCCCTGCTTCTCCTTCTTCCCTTCCACTTCCTCCTCCTCATCTTCCTCCTCTTCTTGCTCATCCCCCTCCTCCTGCTTCTCCTCCTCTTCTCCTCTCCTCTCTGCTTCTCCTCCCCTTTCCCCTCCTCCTCATTCCAGTCCTCCTCATTAATCCCCCATCCCTCCTCCTCAGTACTCCAATTCGTTCCGAGCAGCTCCTGCCTGGTATCAATACTACCTTCCCGTCCACACTCCAACAGTTGCTGTCTAACATTTTCATTCCCTTCCATCCTCTCCACATCCCTGCTGATAGCATCCCACTCTTCCCCCCCCCTCCTGCCTTGCCTCACTTCCTCGCTCTCTTCTTCCTCTTCTTTCTCACTCTCGTCCTCTCTTCTCTTCTCACTTTCATCCTCTCTCCACTTCTCACTCTCATCATGTCTCGTCTCCTCACTCTCATCCTCTTTTCTCTCCTCACTCCCATCCTCTCTCTTCTTCTCACTCTCATCCTCTCTCCTCTTTTCAATCTCATCCTCACTCCTTTTCTTGTTCCCATCCTCTCCCCTCTTCTCGCTCCCATCATCTAACCTCTTCGGACTTTCATCCTCTCTCTTCCCACTCGCATTCTCTCTCCTCTTCTCAGTCCAGTCATCCTTCCATCTGTCCCTTTCAGCATCTCTCCCCTTCTCACGCTTTCCCTCCAATGCTCGTGCCCTCAAGGCTCCAACTTTAACCAGTCTCGAGTAACCCTTCTTCTCTACCACCCTGCTTTCACACATCCTCTTTGTGCCAATCCCACTTGCTGCTCCTGTTCTCGTAACTTCTTTGCTCCCTCCCATTTTTTCTGCCACTTAGTTTGAAGCCTACAGTTGTTGGTGTTATCTTGGCCCCTCCATATTCCCTCCCTCCGTATTCCCTACCTCCGTGTTCCCTCACTCCAACCCCCTTCCCTCCCAACGCCCTTCCTGTGACAGGTACGCCTTTGCTTCCTGTAGCCGCATCTTGTTCTCTTCTCTGCTCTGCACCACCAACGCCCATACCCCTGCTGCCTGCACCTGTCCCCACAGCTCCCTCTCTTCCACCCCCAACACTCTGCCCATGCCCAGGCGGCCCTCCCAACCTTCAACTTACCTGAAGCCCCACCAGCACCCTTCGTCAGCCAAGCACCCTCTCTCCTCTTCTCCTCCACTCGACTCCCACCGCCACCATCACCACCACCTAATCTCACTCCGACACCACTCTTCCCCACACTCCCTGCACCTGACCCAGCACCTGTCTTGCCACCGGCCTTCGCATCCTTCCCCCTGCCCTCACTCCACGCATTCTTTACCCGTCGCCCCCCTCTCTCCATTCACCCCCAACTCCCCCCCTATCAACTCTCGCTGCTCCTCTGTCTACCTTCCCTGCACTCCTTGCATCTGCACCGTCCGCTCCACCCCTCCCTGCATCTGCACCGTCGGCTCCCCCCCTCCCTGCATCTCCACCGTCCACTCCACCTTTCCCTGCCCCTACCCTGCCACCGACCTTCACACTCTTCCCATACCCCCTGCCTTCCTTGCTCCCACTCCTCACAACCGCAGCATTCCTCACAACCCCACCACTCTTCACATGCCCACCACTCCCTTCGCTTTCTGCGCCCTTCCCAGGTCTACCGCCCTCTCTCCACGGACCCTCCTCTGCCTCCCTCCCACCACCACGCCTTTCCACACCTGCACCACCCACATCCAACCGCCAGCCTTCCGGAGCATTGTTTACAGAGGCAGTGGTGGGAGCAGCTAGGGGTGCTTTTGAAGAATGCTTAATAGGGGCCTGGCCGGGAGCAGCAGGGTTTTTTCGAAACAAGGTCTTGGGAGCAGCAGTGGAAAGAACAGGGGGGTCGCCCAATGCACCCTTAGCAGGGGCAGTGGAGGGAGCAGCAGCGGATGGTGCTTCTGACAAGGTCTTGCATTGTGCGGTAGAGGGAGCAGCAGAGGGTGCTTGTAACGAGGTCTTGAAGTGGGCAGTAGGGCGAGGAGAGGGGGTGGTTACTGCTGCGCTCTTGTGAGGGGCTGTGACAGCAGTGGCAGAGGAGAAGGCAGGCTTGCCAAAGGCTGTGTCGGCAGTAGACAAGGGTTCCTTCGACGGGCGCTTAGAGGGAGGAGGGGGAGGAGGAGGAGCAGAGGGTTTTTGGCATGTGCTCTTAACCGGGAGAGTGGAGGCTAAGGCAGGGGGGGCACTTGTGGGAGTGGCTGTGGAAGTCGCAGGGAAGGGTGCCTGTAACGAAGTCTTAGTGGGAGCAGAGGAGGGAGCACCAGACGGTGCTTCTATCAAGCTCTTAGCAGGAATCACGGAGAGCGTAGCAGAGGGTGCTTGTATCGAGCTCTTGTCGGCAGCAGTGGAGGGAACAGCATCAGGTGAAGGAACACCAAGGCAGGGTGCAGCGGCAGAGGGAGGAAAATCAGAGGAGGGGGCGGCAGGGAAGGTAGCGGCAGATGAGGGAGCGGCAGTGGAGGGAGCGGCAGGGGAAGGAGCGGCAGTTGAGGAGGGGCGGAGGGCAAAGAGCACTTCGATGCCGGTTGGCGGGCGGTGCTGGGCAGGCGGGCTGATGGTGGGAAGACGGGAGGGAAAAGGTGGGGAGGAAGTGAGACGAGCACAGAGAGCACTGGAAGAGGAAAGGAAATGATCGTTCATCCAGCGCAACAGTCCAACCAGAAGCTTCAAGCGCGTTCAGACACACGGGCGAGGCTTCGTACTGGTTGCTGTACTGTCGCTTCAAGACTCAAAACACCAGTCACTCACATTGAAGCGTTGCTCTTAGAAGCCATTGATTCGAGTGCACAGCAGCAATGCGCGCCTGAAAAGAAACAATCCTGACAGGGAAAAACAGGGGAAACGAAACAGGGAACAAGAGTGGTGTTGAGAAACGGAAGTGTGTAGTGGGGTGGAGGAAGAGAGGTAGGAGGAGACGGGGAGAAAGGGGAGAGAAAGAGGGGTAGGGAGGGAGCGAGGGAGGGAGGGAGGGAGGGAGGGAGGAGGGAGGGAGGGAGGGAGGGAGGGAGGGAGGGAGGG